GTTTAGAGTATGGCTCATATGGGTCATGGGGAGGTCCAGGTAAGTCGACAGAGAGAATACTGTCAAAAAAGCTGACGGCGATGGTTCATGCACAAGGCAACAGGCGCGTCTAGCAGCGAAAACCTTGTCCTACATACCGGGAGCGTTCCAGCTGGCATTTCAGGGCTCCTCCAAAAGCATGAAGTTGGGAGAGCTCTATGCATTTTGTGAGCCTCCTGGCTGGCGTGTGCGTGGAGACAGGGGTCGAATGGAAATCGTCGGCTGCTCCCCCCCCGTGACGGAGGTTATGTTGAGGCATGTCGCAGTTCACTGTTAGGCCAGCATATCCAAAGAAAGCTGAAGGCATGCCTTGCCGGACACTCTGTGCGTGTGGTAAAGATCCTGCGTGGGGCACGCCCCGATGAAAATGCGCTGAGCACTGAAGGTGTGCTCTGAATGTGGCCATGTGGTATGGGTTCTTTGGAGGTCAGGTGGCCTTACAGCATTAGAGTCTGCATGATGGTGGAGCCACAGCTGGCAGCTGTGTTCACGTGAGGCAGCAGCAAGACCTGAAGCATCTCTTTGTCATTCTTGCAGTCAGTAGGAGCAGAAGCAGGGCACAAAGGAGGAAGAGTAGCACTGGACACTCTTTGGTATGGCAGCTTTCCTTGATTGCATCCATGCATCTGTCTATTCAAATCTTGGTCGCATGGCCTTCGCCTCACGAGAGTCAAAAGGGTTGATGGAGGAGAGCGCCAGCATGTTTGCCAACACCTCAGCTGCAGGCAGCGTGCAAAGTATCAAGCTCGTGGTCTACATCCAAGGCTGGAGCAACATATTTGAGCATAGTCTTTGCCCGGCTTGCGTTGCCGGTCTCCTGGTAGTTCTTGAAGGCTTCAAAGAACTCATTGTAAGCTGCCTGCAACAAGATTCACGCTAGCACTAAGATCAAAGCACTCAAGCCGACTGCCTGTCATGCAGCTACAGTAGGTCCTACCAAAAGAAGAATTCCTTACTTGGGTGCAGAGGAGACATGCCTGACGTAAACCTGTTTTGGCAAAGGTGCGTGTTGGGGCTAACTGACTCTGAAGCTATTGGTAGGATTAAAATGCAAATCAGCAAAGTTTTGAAGGAGCGCCTACAACCCCCACCAGACCTTACTCATGCAAGAGTGACTGAGTATGCAAGAGGACCATCTCTTTGGCATCATATGCAAACCTTGCAAATAAACGTTGTTGCGCCTGGAGTCTCACATGACAATGGAGTGCCTAGGATTCAAAGAGGGTCTCCCTTCAACGACTCTATCCGCTGCAAGTCAAGCCAAATCGACCTCCCTGTGTTACCTCCAACTAACTGTTGGATTGGGACACCAACAGACGTCATCAGCACGGTGCCCAGATTGAATCTCACTTTAACGCACACTCGCTCAAAGCCATGATTTCTCCATACCTTCCACACCCAATCCCAGACTCATTTAGATCCAAATGCTATCATGAGCATGTGTTGCACAAGTGTCTCAGGCTATGCGACGTGAGTTCGTGTCCGGCCTCCCACTTCTTCTCGCTCATGAACATCTTGCCGCCGCTTTCCCGAATCACCGCAATGTTTCGCGGATCCGCAATGGCCTTCAAGGTCTTGGATATCTGCCAGCGTGCTGTTGCTGTCACAGCCAAGGGCCACACAGACGTGAGGTTAATGGTCTTGGGGTAGATCTCCTGTTGCTACTTGCTTGCCTGCTTATCTCGTCAACTGCTGTATCATCGTAAACGAACCATTGCATGTTATTGTATACCTAATCATGAAAAACAAAGAAGCAAAAAGAAAGAGACAGAGAGACAGGAGAGAGAGGGAGAGAGAGAGAACACAAGGGTCTACTGCATACCGCTATGTATTCTTCGCATGCTTCTAAACACAGAATCAAGACGTGTCGTCCTTCATCCGCATGGAATTCTTCGTGAGCGTGCACATCTGGCAAACACCGAGTCATGTGAAGTGCTGTGCACAGAAACAAAGACAAAGTACTCCGGGCACTGTCACTCAAGCAGCCCAAGCAGTGTTATTTCTGCCTGGATCTCCAACGCATAGACTTCCAGCAGATGCGAGCCCTGAGAATGGACATCTCCTTCAAACACAAAGTCGACTTCGGATCCTGGCCTTGCTGACATCATCGGTGCCGTCTGGCTTCTGACAAGTCCTGTGCAACGCCTGCGAAAGTGCAAAAAACATCATGCAATAGGGAATGGTTTCTTAGACTGTGCCTCTGTTCTCGGGTTCTTTAGGAAGCATGATTTTCAGAAGTGTTCTCCTGCAGCATGCCCCTTCCGGCCTTCACGAGGCGCTGCAACTTCTGGACGTCTCCTGATCGCTTGACATCCAACAGGTTCTGTCGCGGCGCAACTGCTGTACAAACCTATTTCGAGGTGCAGCTTCGCAAGCTTCACGGAGGTGCTAAACCAAAGCCTCGTACACCGTCGCAACATATCACATTCCCATGCAGCGGTTCAAAGCAGCAATGGGCACCAAGCCTCTGGTTCGCAGTGGCTTTCAGGGCGTCGAGGGTCAGCTCGTAAATCGTCTCGAGCTTTGTCAAGTCACTGGCCGACGACACAGAATCCAGCACCTCAAGAAAGGCTGCTCGCTTCCAGACTTGCCTGGGTTTCTCAAGCTGCAAACTGGGATCCGCTCCGTGTTGATCGCCTCGCTGGCATCATTTCGGGTGACCTTCGGCTTCCGACAGCAAGGAAGACATAACATGGGAAGCTGAGAGGTCAAGTCAAGCCTGGTCCATGTAACTCAGAAGCTCCCGGTACCGGGTTGCCATATCCTCAAATCTCCCAGTCCGGGCGCCTTGGCCATGTGCCAAATCAGGCTCCTAGATAACAGAAGCAGCTCTGGGGGCAAGACACAAGATCACAATGTTCTGAAGGGCCTTGAACCTCCAAACCACCTGCGCTCAACACTTTAGTAGTTGATGCTATTAGGCTGGTTGTCAAAATTATGGTCCGTATTTGGATCCCTATTATAGTACGGCACCAAATATTTAGGGTACCCAAAAAGGGACCATAATTTTGACAACCACCTATTAAGCCTGTACATGGCAAGCATTGGCAAGCCGTGGGCCTCACTACCCCGAGCTGTCTCCAAAGTAACCACCTTCTGAAACTGCTCGAGCGCCTGCTTCTGTGCAGATGCCAGAATCAGAGAGCTACAGTCTAAACTCCTTCAAGGGGGGTTATATAAGGGATAATATAGGGGAGTATCATAGGGCTTATTAAGGGGGATACTAGACGAAGGCACGCCACGTTTCACCCTCACTTGCCTGTTCAGGGTAGTTCTGCTTGTTGTCGTCAGCCTGTGGCAGCTACTGTAAGTGGGTTAATTATGGGGATAATTGGGGTTATTGTATGGCTTATAGGGATTATTAACCTACTTACTAAGTCCCCATGACCCTAAACCCTAAATACTATAGTAGCTTCCATGTTCTTTTCCATTCTTACTATATAGCCCCCAAATATACCCAATATAACCCTATAATATGGTAGACTAAGTCCCCATGACCTGCCAAGTACTCTGAAGGGGAATAGCGGAATGAACCAAGGGTCTGCCTCGTAGAAAGTGTTCTCGATCTGGATGGCCTCTTCATCTCCATCCTGGCTTAGTCCCCTAACATCTGGGTATATACATATAAATATATATGTATACTCTATAACCCTTATAGTTTCCCTTGTCTTGTCCATTATCCCCATAGAACCCCAATATTACCCCAATGGATACCTATATGCCTATATGCGAGGAATTGAATGTAGTTGATCTGCAGCCATAGCCACCTCCTCCTCGGCACCGCCGTAGGGATCATCATCCGACTCGTACTCAAACTCATCGGAGTCAGACATCCCCGCACTGTCTCCTGCCACAAAAACAAAACAGCACAAAACAAGGAGTGAGTAGTTAAGACCTACCAGTAGAGTTGCCTTGATATGAAGAAGAGACATAACGAACAGCTCATCAAAAATAGGTTTGCTCGCTACGATCTTTTGCGGAAACGTTCTTGCGTGAAAGCATCACATTCCTGCGTGTGAACAGCACTGGCAATGCCGACTGGTCCCCCAACCTGCTCAGCACATGCTGCGCCCTCGCGTTGGTGTAGCCATCACCATGGCATGCACCTGATTGCAAAATGGCGAATACTTAGCCGGCAAACGGCACACATGCATTCCCGCTTCCACGCCGAGGGCGCCTCATATTGGTCCAAGGAGTGTGGCAATGTGTGGCGCGCAGGCCCGGGTTTGAGGCAAGCAAACCGTGCCAGGGTGCTGTCAGCTTGCAGTCACAGGATGTCACAGGAACTATTTGGCTTCACCGAGGCAAGCTCTCTGGCAACGCAGCCTCCAAGTTTCCACACGCTGACGCTGGATGTCCAGGCGGCACTAAATAGTTAGCAACTACCAGTACCTGAACTAAAGAGGAGTGGTAGTTGCCTCGCTGTTTCGCGATGGCAGGTGATGCTCGACACCCCGTGAGAGCACTGGCCACTTGCGGATGACAAGCCGCAAGCATGGTCAATGCCTACCTAACCTACTGAGCTTTTGTCGGACAAGCCTGTGTGGCTGCTGGCCACAGACTGCACCATACTGCACGACACCACCAGCGCAACAATCACGAAATTCAACGAGAAAAAAAACTGAGTGAATGTGACCAAAAGAATTTACGAACATAGGCCGCTCTGGCGCAAGCTGCGTCGTGTGCGGCAGTCTGTGGAACACAGCTCTCCTCCTTCACCCTCAGCTTGCAGGTGTCATGTTGGCACATGCGCAGTCTACCAAAGGGCAGAGATCAGCGCGTTACAGCTCTTTGCCAGCGGTTGCTTGCTCATAGACCTGCGCGAACGCAGGGTCCTGCAAAAGGCTCACGCTGTCCAACAAAATCAACAAAGAAGAAAGGCAACCAAAAAAAGAATTGAGCAGGGATACTGGAAAAGAAAATGGAAGCTACTATAGTATATTGGGGTTGTATTGGGAATAATGGAAAATCAAATGGAAGCTACTAGATTATAGGCACATGCAACAGCCCCGCTGGTCGAAGGCTTGGCTGAGCAAGGCTCCTTCATGATTCGCCCCATAAAGTCCACAAACACCTGGTCAGGTGGGATTTCAGAAACCAAAATCAGGGGCCCTGCGGGACCTTAGCACGTGAGGGGATTGCCATGAGATGTCGGCAGTCCCCGTTAATGCTCTCTACGAAATTTTCAGAAATTCCCCAAACTTCATCCAAGAAGCTAATTATTCAAAGATGTGACTTAGGTTCAGCGCAAAGTTGAAGAAACCGGCGCAGAAACACCATCTTCGCAGCGGCCGTGCAATGCTGTGCTTTTAGCGCACGCGGGCATTCTTCGGCAAACTATACTGCGTTGCAAAGCAATGACTTCTTTCAAAGCTGGCCTTGTGCTGGTTTGCCTCAGCTATGGGCTCCACAACCTTCAGCGTCCTCGCGTAGAGTCTGAGCATGTCCATGGCACGGCCTGAGCCACAGCTCATCCCAGTGCCGGCACGCAGTTGGAAACTCAGGGCCAGCATCTGAAGGCTTGTACCTAGAATTCATTCGAGCAGTTGGACACTGCTGAGACACTTCTTCCTAGCTGTTTTATAACAACTTACACAATAAGTTTTCGGCCAACCCCATAAGAACAATGAGAGCAACTGCTTTTGAGCGGTCCCTCTTTTTGAACAATGTGGCTCTGCCACAATCTGAAGGCCCTAGGAACAGCACCGGGCAACCTGAAAGCCTTGAAAGTTGAAAGAGAAACCAAGGGATCCCGTCAACACGGACTGCCGATGAGCCAAGCTGAAAGGCTGGGCTCTTGCAGCATCTTGTAATTTAAGATGGAAACCATGGGACCCTAGTATGGGCCCTGAAACTGGAATCCTTAATACCTACTATATACCCTATATGTAGATGTCAGCAAATTTAAGCAACAACATGACTTGTGCGAATGGCTTCCATTCATGGAGAGGACCCACCCATGCTCGAGAAGACAGAACATCCCAGAATTGCCTGCTCAAGATAACAGGCGGCAATGGCTGAGGAATCTGCCAACTTGCTGCTTCGCCTGCACTTGCTTGATCCACCGCATGATGCACCGGTCGAATCTGCGCAGGGGCGAAAGGGTCAGCTATGTTTCGCTCGGATTTTCCTACATGCGGCTCTCTGAGATGGCGCACGGTTCAACCAAATCGCCGACACGTCCAATGATCCGGTACAGCGCAAACTGCCACGAACACAGATCCTGCAGCAGCCTGCCATGATAAGAAAGTTTGTCTGGGCAGGGACTTCGGCATGTTTAAGCATTAGCAGCTGAGGAGCTTGACTCATGAAACATGCCAGCCAGGCTGGCAGCATATAACCTGGATATCTTCGTTGTCACCCATGCCTGACCCAGCTTTGAAGACTCGTCGATTGGATCGGGCAAGCTCCCATGGTTTCCACTAGATATTATTTGATGCTAACGTTTCTTGTCCGTCTTTGGCGCCTTGTAGCACAAGGTCAATCAGGGCTGGCGAGGCGATCTGCTCAGGGTAGGCTGCTAGCAACGAACAGCACACCTCGGCAAAGGGTGTGTCTTGCAAGCTTGCGCTATGAACCAAGCACGGACGCAACTCCTCCACACATCTCCACACTGGCAACTCGTATCTATCTACTTTAGTCAGAAACACACAACCCGAAAAAATGGAGCTTCAATTCAGCCACTGACAGTATAAGCAAATTTCCGCAACGGCAGGCCATCATCCACCTGGTTCCACTAGCACATCAATTCTTGCTCATACCCCTGCCACCCTGCCAAGTAAGTCTATGCCATTCGTGACTGCAGTCCCCAGAAGAAGAGACATGCAGGCACCAGGCCGCCTTGTGTTTGAATGGTCCCAGATCCACTTCCCTGATGAGCTCTGGCCTTGGTCACTCAGGTGACAACCCTATTAATTCATTTACTATATAATGGTAACCCTCTTAATTTTAGGGGTTTAGGCTGAAAACTGCTTCCGAGGTACTTCTGCTTCGAGTCCTCCTTGATTCGTTCGAGGACAAGATCGGTGCTATCCTGCATTGCTTACGCTGCTGGGGCAAAAGAAATCCTTGGCTAAGTAAGCCGCTCGTCAATGCAGCCATCATCTGTCCCGCAGTATCTCCGAGCAGGTGGGGGAGACGCAGACCACGTTTACGGAGTGGAGCGCTGCCTTTCTCACCTGCAGCAAGTCTGAAACAAATTATAGTAAGTAATAGGGTTACCATAATATGGGTATAGGAATATACGCATATTATGGTAACCCAAAAATATAATATAAGATCATATATATAATATACTATAATATGATATAATATAATATAAGATAATATAATAGGGCTACCATAATATGGGATCATACGGGTATATGGTTATAGTAAATTAATAGGCTTGCCGTACATTTTCGCCCAACCTGCAATTCTTCGTCGCCCAGGCAGACGAGCAAGGCCTCCTGCAAGAAGGAAAAAATGCTCCCCCTTGCTTTTGGATTATCCCTATATAACCCCAATATATTCCCTATTATAACTGTATAACCCTGTATCACCCTCAGTAGTTTCCATTTTTTCCATTATCCCAATATGACCCCTATGTTCTATATACTTTTTGATTCAGATTCCCAGCCTTGAGGGGCAACACCGCAGAGGCCTGGACTTGAGACTTATCAGTGGCCAGGAAACGCGGGAGCCCGCTGAAAGCGATTCCCCCGCTTCAAAATAAGGTTTGGGAGGGGAGGGCGGGGGGCGGGGGGGGGGGGCATCATGCATTAAATGTTTCCAGGACGCCATCAAATCACGAGTCGCCGCCTCTCTTTACGACTGTGTTGTCAGGGTCACAATCCCTTCTAAGCCCGAGCATTGCGGCACCTCCCAAGTTCTATGCGGGGATGCATGATGATAGACTTGAAACGGAATCAAACTGCAGTTGTTGCGACTGTTTGCATGCATCAGCATTGTGAAATGTTCTTCTTCAACTTTTTCACTTTATTGTTGATTGTTGCGGTTTTCGACGGGTCATGTTCTGCACTTCTGCCCCGACCTTTCTGCTTGCCCTTGCAAGTGCCATGTGTGTCCAAGAAAAGTATGCAAGACCATCAGCAGCTGGTGGGAAGAAAGTGAGAGGGAGGGGCAGAGAGAGAGAGCGAGAGAGAGAGAGCGGGAAAAAAACAAAAGATTTCACCGGAGATACCTCAGGATGGGCTCATGGGTGCGCCCTGTGAGCTGTGATATAAAGCTTTTTGAAGAGGGAGAAGGGGGGGTGCGAACCGTGATGAAAGGTGCGGTGAATAGATGGCAAGCCTGCTCCCCTGCACGTTGGCTCAACAACCCTAAACCCTAAACCCTATACTATAGTAGCTTCCGTTTTCTTTTCCATTATCCCTATATAATCCCTGCAAGTGTCAGAGACACTCATGCAGCTCCACGCATTCCGACATGGTGTGCGCAGCTACAAAGCTCAGGGGAAAAGAGTTGCGAGTCAAGGAGTCCCATTGCACCGCTCGTCTGTGCCATACCTTCCTTCGTACGGCTACTCACCGCTGATCTTTCCTGAATTGGGCAAAGCACCAGCACGACCCATCGGGCGTGCATGGTAGCGGAGCCTCAGGCTCAGGCTTGGGGCTCGAGCAGAGAGATCGATCCAGGGTACGTTGCACAACCAGGTGATACGGCTCCCCAAGGTCGACGACATGTCCGAGAAGCGTGCTTAAGAAGACCCACGAGGAGTCCGCGAGCTCGGCGGCACCGGCAACACGCTCGAATCAGGACCGCCTGGAGAAGAAGCTCGAGATGATGGCCGATACCATGGAGATGATGCGCAAGGAGCTCGCCGAGGCGAAGGGCGAGCGGCCTCGGAAGACACATGGCCGCATGGAGGACGACAGCATGTCCGACGGCTCCTTCAAGGTGATCTCCAAGCAGCCAGGCTCCCCCAGCTAGAGACTTCGACCACAGCGGGATCTGAGTCCGGCAGTCCAGCTAGGCAACGTGATATGAGTGCCTCGCAGATTTTAAGCGCCCAGTTGCAGGGTGCACAGCTACGCAAATTAGGGCCTTTGCAGGCCAGGAGCTTGGAGGAACAAGCTTGGTCTGTCGTGCCCGGAATTTTTCAGTCTCTGGCGGGCCATAACAGAGTTTGCCTCATGGAATGTGCTTGCGAACCTGACAGCCTTCTTACGTCAGCGGTGCAAGCCCAGCAAAAAGCCGAGAGTGCTGCCAGCAGATGTTCTCTGTACAACGGTTGTGACTTGTCTACAGATGCCGGGGTAAGACTGGTCATGAGACGCATGGATCTTGAGAGACCCCAACATGTTTGGTTGAGTCCCCCTTGTGGTCCCTTTAGTCCCTTACAGAGAACCAATCAGAGGACCCCCGAACAGATCCAGGAACTCAAAACCAAACGTCAGCATGCCATAAGGATCTATGTAGGAACGACTTGCATCATGCACTATGCCATACAGCGGGGTATACATGTCACACTTGAGTTGGCTGAGCGCTCAGATGCTTGGAGGTTGCCTGTGTTGAATCAACTCCAAAAGAAGTACAAGTTATATCAAGCGGTGACTAAAGGATGTGCTGTTGGTTTAAAGAACCCCAAAGACGGTAGGCTAACGCAGAAGGGTTGCGTATCCTTACGGTAAGTGTGAAGGTGCCAGCGCGACAGAGAGTGCCAAGTATACACCTGATTACGCGAGAAGAGCTGCGCGTGTCATTTGTCAGGAGTTGAGCCACCAAGATACCATCCGGGAGTGCATGGGTTCAAGTTTCCTGGTTCAGGGTTTCGGTGAAGGGGAATTTTGTACGTGTGGTGAAGTGTGCCTTCCGGGAGTTCCCAGAACTTGTCCATGTTGCACGCGAGGGAAAGAAAAACTTCTGGGAGAACAGGACGATGTGTCAGGTTCAGGGTGTTCGGAGCTTGATTTGCACAGTACACTCCTGGAACAACCAGGTAGCACAGGTCAGGCGGTTTCAGGTTCAGGTGACATGAGGGACGAGGCTTCTAGGCAGACAGGTGTTTCGGAGCTTGATGTGCGACAAGAAGAACCCGAGGCCCACATTCATGAACCCCCAGAAGAGTACTTCTCCCAAACCTGTGTGGAAACAGTTGAACTTCAAGCCCTGGAGTTCGTGCAACAAGGCAAATTCCAACACCATGAGTGCGAACAAGTCCTCCAACATCTCCAGTTCCCAGTAGGAGCCAGAGCAGAGAAAAGGTGGAGGGCTCGCAACCCCGATATCTGACGCTAGGCGCCTATGCACATGGCAATCATTATGGGTTGACGAAGTGGACGTACAAGTTTCCGAATTTGAGTAGGTATGTGTTGCAGTACCTCCAACATTGGTCCCCCGAAGCCGTGACGTGTAGTTCGCTGGTGATCAACGATAACTCCTCTGTAGGTATGCACCGTGACGTTCACAATGCCCCAGGCACTAAGAATTTTCTGATCGGGGTCACCCGATACCAGCATGGAGGACTCTGGACAGAGGGTCCCGGGACACAAAGCAGACAGACACAGGTTGAAAAAACCTTGCCCAATGGCAAGACGATGCTAGGACATGTGGCGCCAACATGTCAGAGAGTAGTTGTGTTTGATGCACGCGGATGGCATGAAGTTCAGAAATGGCAGGGTCGACGTGAAGTGGTTAATGCGTTCACTAGCAGGGGTGTTGGGTTTTTAAGCACGCATGAAAAACAATTTCTGGAGCAGCTTGGAATGACCTGGCAGGTCCACAAAGAGGACACCTGTGAACAAGCATGCGTGGCAAGCCATCCAGCACAGCATGCCACACGCAGTCAGGCGCAGCTAGAAGAAGAAATTAAGAAGAAGCTTGCCTGTTACATGCTGCTGCGGGTCATGGAAGCACGCGTCATATGGTGGACGCCCTGAAGCGTAGGAACGCCGATCCTCTTGCGTTGAAGCTTGCTCAAGAGTTTAAGTGCTCTGTGTGTCAGGAACGCAACCGAGTGTCCTCCAGACAAGTTGCCACGTTGGAAGCCCTGCCCCCGAAATTTCATACCATTGCTGCTGATATAGGACATTGGACTCATGTTCGCACGGGAGAACAGCAGAACTTCATGGTCATTATGGATGAGGGTTCGCGGTACCGTGTTGCAAAAACCCTGACTAAAGGTAGCAAGAAGACCCCAAACGCGGCCACCTGCATCAACTATTTCAGCGAGGGTTGGATCCAAATGTTTGGGAAGCCAAAAGCTTTACGCCTGGAACCAGCAGGAGGATTCAGGTCGAACGCCTTGGAAGGGTTCTGCGATCGTCATGAAATCTTCCTAGATCTGATCCCGGGAGAGGCGCATTGGCAAATCGGTATTGCTGAACAAGCTATCCAAGAACTCAAAGCCCTGATGACCAAGATGTGTGAACAGGATCCTGATTTGGGCCCCGAAGAGGCTCCCAGCCCTTCAACCGTACGGAGATAGTCCGAGGGTTCTCACCTGTACAACATGTGCTTGGACAGGCCCCTGATGAAGCTGGTAGACTGTTACCAGGGATTGCCACGATCGTAGAGGAGCCTATCTTGAATCAGCCGCTGCAGGAGTTCAAAAGGGAGGCAGAAAGGCGGGCAGTCGCTGAACAAGCCCTCTCTGACTGGCAAGCAAAGGAACGGGTCCGGCGAGCCTTGAATTCTAGAACCCGACCCTCATGTAACTACATGCCAGGAGATCTCGTCTATTTTTGGAGGACTCAAGAGGCGGGCAAGAGTAACAAGCATCCTGGAACTTCGCATGGCCGCTTCCTTGGCCCCGCGCGCATATTAGCAATGGAGTCCCGACAGGGCCCAGGCAATGAGCCCAGACCGGGTAATGCTATATGGACTGTGAGGGGCAGGCGGTTACTTAAATGTAGCAGAGAGCAACTGAGACCCGCTAGTCCTAGAGAAGATGCGATCGAATCCCTGACTCCAGAGGGCCAAGCTCCTTGGACTTTCAGTCGTGTAGCAAACGAAGTTGGTGGAAGCCAGTATGAGGACATAAGTAACGAGGTTCCCACTGAAGCTGAATGGGGAAGAGCCCAAGATGTACTTGAGGAGGTTCCTCCAGTGACACACAGGGTCCGAAGCAAACGTCCGGCTGCCGAACCTTTGGACGAATTGGGGATTCTTAGTGAGGATGACATGGATATGGTGGAACACGGCAACAGCCAACCCAGTACCTTCGTAGACGTAGGCATGACCAAGGATCAGCCGCAACCGTTGAACAAGCCAGTGCATGGTGGTGTGAAGTGGAACCTAATGCGTGGGAACCAGAAGCCTCAGCTTTCTGGACCGAAGAGTCCGCACTTCAAAACTACTTCGTAGGAGCGCTTAAAAGAAGAGCAGTCGAGGTCAGTGAAAAGCAGCTTTCACCTGAGGACAAGCAGAAGTTCCGAGGGGCTAAGGCTATAGAGGTCCGAAACTTCATAGCGGCACAAGCGTTCGAGGCCCTGCCACCCAATGTGAGGCCTTCTAAGGAACAAGCCATCTCGATGCGCTGGATTTTAACGTGGAAAGTCCAAGACACTGGCGAACTCAAACCAAAAGCAAGAGCTGTTTTGTTGGGTTATCAGGACCCCTGTTACGAACACAGGGCGACTACGGCGCCGGTGATGACGCGTATGACACGTCAGTTGTTCCTCCAAGCCGCAGCAAACCACAAGTGGAAGCTGACGAAAGGCGACGTCAGCGGGGCTTTTCTTCAAGGAAGGGATGATCCTAATGAGCTTTATTGTATACCTTGCGATGAAATCCTTGAAGCAATGAACCTGCCGCCCGGCACGATGACCCGGCTGAAGAAAGCCTGTTGCGGCTTGGTAGAAGCTCCTCTTGAATGGTATAGGACCGTCTCGGAGTATCTAGGATCCTTAGGATTCCGGCGCCTTTGGGCGGACTCCTGCTGCTGGACATGGCATGTGGCAGGGAAATTGCGCGGCATGGTTACCGCGCATGTAGATGATTTTATGTTTGCAGGATCAGCATCGGACTCAGCATGGCTTGACAAGTTGAACCAGATTGAGCAACGTTTTGGTTGGGGCAGTTGGGAAGAAGACAAGTTCACGCAATGTGGTGTGCTCATAGAAACGGTTCCGGAAGGTTTCCGCCTCTCACAACCGAAATATCTCGAGGATCTCAAGGAGATAGGAATGAGCACTTCCCGCCGCAAGGAGAAGTCCCAGGCCACCACGGAGCATGAGAAAGGCCAATTGAGAGCGTTGCTTGGAGGGTTGAGTTGGTACGCTCAGCAGACAGGACCTCACATGTCTGCAGAAGTGAGTATGTTACTTTCTGAGGTCAACGGTTCCACGGTGGATACCATCTGTCGAGCAAACATGTTGTTGCATCATGCTAAAGACCGTAAAGAGCATTACGTACTGATCCATCGTTGCGTCTCAGAAGACATGCAGTTTTACGCTTGGGTGGATGCGGCAAGCCAGAACCGAGTGCGGGGCGGGAGTACCCAGGGAATTCTTGTAGGAGCTGCTTCGCAAGGACTGCTGCGAGGTGAAGTATGTAGCGTCAGCATGATTAGCTGGCAATCCTCCAAGATAGACCGCAGCCCGGGAGCCGCGGAGGCTCAAGCTGCTGTGAACGGGGATGATGCCCTGTTTTATGCTAGATACCAATGGCATGAGATGCTGTATGGGGGCGTGGACGTGAGGCACCCGGAGAAGAGCGTGCGGCGCATTGGAGGTGTGCTCATAGCAGACTCTCGCAACGTGTACGACAAGTTGAACACAGAAGTCCAAGTGGTGAAGGGAGCAGAGAAAAGGACAAATCTGGAGCTCCTCAGTCTGAAAGAGTCCCAGGACTCAACGAACCTGGTCATCAGATGGGTGCACTCAGAAGCACAACTGGCAAACTCCCTGACCAAGGGAGGGAGCAAGGAGCTGGAGTTGTTCTACCGCATGAATGCGGCCTGGAGAATCGTTGAAGACCCTGACATGCAATCGGCAAGGAAGCGAAAGACCAAGGGCTTGGAGCCTCTGGAACAGCAACCAGTGGAGAAATGAAGGGAAAATCTTTCCTGAAGCCCAAGTAGGTTCTCTTGCAAAGAGAAGGGGGGAGCACCGGGCATGCAAGTGTCAGAGACACTCATGCAGCTCCACGCATTCCGACATGGTGTGCGCAGCTACAAAGCTCAGGGGAAAAGAGTTGCGAGTCAAGGAGTCCCATTGCACCGCTCGTCTGTGCCATACCTTCCTTCGTACGGCTACTCACCGCTGATCTTTCCTGAATTGGGCAAAGCACCAGCACGACCCATCGGGCGTGCAATCCCTACATAGCCCTATACGACCCTTAGTTGTTTCCATTTTCTTTTCACAATAATAATGATGACAAGGATAAGAATGGTAATAACAACCATGAGGTGAAGCAGGTAATAACAATTTGCGGGGAGCCTGGCACTGCTTTGCTGCGGCAAAACGCACAGCAGCCACTGCTGCAGCTCTCATCCTCCAGCTCTCCCTGATCAGCTGGTTGTCAAAGCACATTCGTCGCTCCACTGCTCGTTAGTCTTATATATGTATGTAATATATATATATATAACAATTATATGGACACCCCCCGGCCATGATCCATATGCACATTTCTTCGTGTTCTCCTTGTCCCATCAATGGAGTCATGCACAGAACAAAAAATATGCTTCTGGGACTCATGACCTCAACCTTCCAGCCATGTCCCAAAAAACCTTAAATTTAAATTTTTTGTGCATTACAGCATTTGGTGAGTATTTTCAAAATGATTTCTTGTGAACGTTTTATGCATTGTAGCAATTGGTAAAGTTTCTTAATGAAAATTTTTGAACTTTCTGTGCATTACAGCATTCCATGGTATCTGAGGCCACCAAATGCTGGAATGCACAAGAAGTTCGACAATTTCATGGTTCTGGGATTTCTGGCCTCAACCTTCCAGCCATGAGTCCCAAAACAATGATTTTTCAAACTTCTTGTGCATTACAGAATTTCGTAAGGTTTTTCAATGATTTTTGAACTTTTTGTGCATTGCCGCATTTGGTAAGGTTTTGAAATGATATTTTTCCATTTTTTGTGCATTACAAGGTTTTCTCAACCCACCAGCCCCCCATGATTCGATTCTAAAACGTGGATCATGGGGGGGGTGGGCATATATATATATATTATTTGTCTGTATGTATATCTATATATTTGCCCCAACATTATTCTTTGACGATGCCATCCTTATCTGCGGGCCTCTCTCGGTTGGACAGCAGGGCTGTCAAGGCTTGCATGACAGCATCCTGGCCAACATGTACCAACAATGCAGAGCAACGTTGCCTCACCCTTGGCGACTACAATAAGGCGGGCAAGTGTTTCCAAAAGCAGGCCTGAAACCATGCTAGGTGTACAAACCCCATCAACAGAATGGAGGGGCCTGGTCGACTGCAAGCAGGTGTCCCAGAGACTCGGACACAACATTTCGCATGCTTTCCTGGCCATTGTAGTGGCGCATGCCGAATCCGCAAGGACAGCACTTTGCAACACATGTGCCTCCTGTGAGTCAGCGTATTGCTGGAGGATTGGCCTCATTTGGCTATATACCCCAAACCCTAAACCCTAAATCCAAAAAGCTGTTTCCATTTTCTTTTCCATTATCCCCTATATACCCGCAATATACTATAGTAGTTTCCATTTTCTTTTCCATCATCCCCTATATACCCCCAATATACTATAGTAGTTTGCATTTTCTTTTCCATTATCCCCTATAGACCCTCAATATACCCGTGGCCAGGACACGATCAGCTCTGAGGCCCAGGCAGCACACGTGGAACATGTGGCTTCAGGTGTTCTGCAAGCGCGCGAGAGCCGTGCCTGTTTTTTTTCAGGGTTTAGGGTTTAGGGTCTTCCAAAATAGATGGGTTGGCAATAAGCATTAAGCAGTCCAGCTTGTGTCTCAATTAGCATGCAAAAAACTGAACAACTTTCCTCGAATCAATTGCGCAGATGGGATTCCACATTATCCATCGTCTAAACTCCTAGTATCCCCCTTAAGAACCCCTAAAATAGTCATATCATCACCTATATAACCCCCCTTTTAGGAGGTCACAGGCACA